AGAATATACGCCTTTTCAGGAAAGTGAAAACTTGGGTACGGTGACAAATGGGAATTTTGATGAATTGTCACAAGATATTTGGCCAATTCTGTAACTCATTAACTTTTCATACATATAGGAAAGCCACAATTAATCAGGTACAAATTAGTATTTACATCAATTCAGAAAGTATGTCAACTACTTTTAATGACTTCAAAGTCACCAGTATTATAAAAGCTTTTTTGGTCTTTGCCACTTTCATCAATAAAGAAAACAATAGACATACAGAAATGGTTGAAAGCATCTTAGCCACAACAAATCTTCAAAATACACAAGTTAAATAACGTCACTATGGCCTAAAGCCATGGAAATAACAACAAGTAAGAAAAATTTAATGATTTTTTTTTATTTGAATAATGATAGCAGTCTACAAATTATTATAATATATATAATCTATTTAAGTCATTTGTCAGCTATGCAATAAAGCAATAAGTAGGCATGTATCTCAGTAATAATAAGATCAAAACTTAGATAGTTTTTCAGACATATTCCATTCTAAATAGTCTGCATTTCCTTGTGCCAAATTTGTAATCTTTTGAGCACTGATTTACACATTTCTAATGAGCTCTTGGTACTGAGCTCTATAGGTATTGTACTAGTCTAGAAATCTATAAGGAGTGGGCTATAGAGTTGTTTAAATCTATAAGGAGTGGGCTATAGAGTTGTTGAAATATATAAGGAGTGGGCTATAGAGTTGTTTAAATCTATAAGGAGTGGGCTATAGAGTTGTTTAAATCTATAAGGAGTGGGCTATAGAGTTGTTGAAATATATAAGGAGTGGGCTATAGAGTTGTTGAAATATATAAGGAGTGAGCTATTGAACTTCACTGCTAGGATATTCTATGAAGGAGCAAAAGTGTTTGGACCATAAATATTGCCCTCTCTAATGTGAAAATCTGGAAAATTGCTGAACATACATCCTGTCATTGAAAATTCTATTAAATTTCTGAATATTTATGATCTGAGTAGAAAAAAAATGGTTATGTAAATTAGTACATTACTATAAACAGTGTATGTTCAGTGCAGAACATAATACATGAAAAATCATTTGAAAATATATCTAGTAACGAATCTGACAGTAATCTTGTAAACAGATCAACATATTAGTCTTCATTATCACTTATTCTTACACTTTTCATCAAGGTTCTTAAAGATTTCTAGATGTACATAAATATCATTAACAAAGCAAAAAGAAATACTATCATAATATTTAATAGCAATCATAAGTATTGCTATTAACTAATTGCCTAAAAAATAATAAAACTTAATAATAAAATTCAAGAATAATTCCTAACTGTATAAAAATTACAATTGATAAAATTACTGATATGATAGAGTGTGGGGTGCAATATGCAGGTGATGTCAGTGTTATGTTTTACTTTCAAATCTTGCACACTTTCCATTAAATCAAGCACAACTATCTACTTCATACTAACAGACCATCAATGTAACAACCTACTATGGCAAGTTTGTTGTAAATCTATAGTAACTATATAAAATTTAAATGTTGAATTCATGAAATCATTATGGTTATAATAAATCTGAAGATTTTTTATCCTTTTCATGCAAAATCCACAGAGCAAGAGTAAAATGTATTTACAAAAAAGTTAAAATATACATATGATCAGTGATGGTAAAAACTAAATCCACATAGACATATAGAAGAGAATGTGCAACTGCATAATATATGTGGTGTTATCATAGCACGTGTTAGTTGTAGTTAAAATAATAATAGCACATATTTGGTTATATTAATATCAGAACATAACTGTAAATGGGCATCATCTACTGTACAAAACTAAACTTGAACATCTCACTCTGTTGCAACAACATAAATTGTAGTGTGTAGTAGTTTGATCAAAATTTCAATAAATTTTTCTGATATCTGCATCACACACTGCATCACAAATGTCTAATTTCAGTACAAAACATGAAGACATTAATGCTTAATAAGCATGGATTTATAAAGGAGATGACACATGTTTTAATCTAAATGCAGTTGCTCAAACTCTACATAACTGAAACCATTTTGCAATATTCAGCTAATGGTATTCCTCTATGGGAAAAACAAACAGATAATAGGATGAAATGATAAAGAGAAGAATATTAGTTGATTATAATTGAAGACTCAATGGACACTTCATGCAGCTCTGCATGTAAGAACAGAACTTGTATAAGCAAAATCTTGTTTCTTTTTGAATTCATGGTTTTATTTTCATGTTTCTTTTAACTATTGTTCAGAAATTCAAGCTCCAAAATGAAAGAATGAGATACATTAAAAAGATTCCCTCTTAACCTAAACTTCAATAAATATTTCCATCTTTTACATGTTATTTAATTTATAACATTGTGCAAAATGACAGAGAAGGGCAATCCAATCATCCTACTTGATCAATTGTATTTTTGTTAAAACTTGCATCTATGTATGGTCAAATTTTAATTATGTTTATAAGAAGTAAAGGGCTATTGACATTTTGGAACAATGAAAAATAACGTCATGGATATTTCTGAACACAATACAGATCATAAGAAATATTTCAAATTCAGTTTGGTTTGATTCACTAATTTGGTTTTTGAAGATAATTTGGATTATCTCAGATCATACTTCAACTACAGTATAGGTCCAGAGCTTAAAGTCTATAGTCATATCACTATAGATAAAACAATCTTTATTACATCGTCAATGTTTCTGAACACAATTTGGATTATCAAAATATCCTCTTAAAAACCACCAAAGACATTGATCTAGAAATGGTTACCGGTATATTAAATTGGAATGGACATCACAAAAAACCATAATAAGAGGAGGGTTAATGATATATCAATCTGTTTTTAAAGAACCTACACCAAAACAGATGAAAAACTAGATTAACCAGACTTGACTTGTATTGTAAACAGACACAAAAATTAAACACAATTTGTAACTTGGTACATTTTTATCAGTCTGTATGCCAATTACCAACTGAAAATCAATTCTTCCAGATCTCTTGTGTACAAATAGAATTTATTTCATTGTAATCAAGTTAAATAAACATTTAAAAAAGATAGCTTGCCAGGCAAGGTAACATACGCCCACTACCAGCTGTAAGAATGATAACAAAATCTTTAGTGGCTTAATAATAAATTTTCAAATAATCTTAAAATCATCCATAAGTCAAGGCAAAAACCTGAAACAGTTCATCAAGTTATCATGAAATTCAAACATGAACAATGGCAATAACTCGGAAACTGTTGATTCGATTATTACCTAACTTGACCGAGATCTCATCATGCATATCTAGTTTCATCAAAATTGGATAAAAACTGTAGTCTCTATCGTGCCTGCAAGCCGAATTAGACAAGTTTTTACTAAGTCAAGGGCAATAACTCCGAAACCCTTAATCCGATTGTTACCAATTATGAACTCGAGTGAGATCTCATCAATATATACATGCATACCTAGGTTCATCTAGGTTGGATAAAAACTGTAGTTTTTATCGTGCCTACAATTGAAATTTGATTCGTTTTTACTAAGTCAAGGGCAATAACTCTGAAACCGTTCATCTGATTATTATCAATTTCAAACTTGACCGAGATCTCATCAATATATAGATGAATACGAAGTTTCCTCAAGATCGGATAAAAATTGTAGTCTCTATCATGCCTACAAGTCAAATTTGACGAGTTTTTACTAAGTCAAGGGCATAACTCTGAAACTGTTCATCTGATTATTATCAATTTCAAACTTGACCGAGATCTCATCAATATATACATGCATTCCAAGTTTCATCAAGATCGGATAAAAACTGTAGTCTCTATCGTGCCTACAAGAAATGTGAACGGACGGACGGACCGACGTGGGCGTATAATAAAACATATCCAATTTACTTTGATGCCTAGAGATAAGAAATTCAGAATAAAAATAACTTAAAAACACAATATTTCTGAATAAAACTTTTGTGAAAACTGATTATTCAAAAATGTACATCACAAGACAGAATCTATATTGATGACAAGAACAAATTATGATATGCTTTACAATTTATTTTCATGATTAAAACATTTATCCACATATTGTCTGCAAATCACAACTAAACTGTTCGACCAAAGAATTGATAATTAATCCTGCTTCTAAATTCATGTACTTATCAGCTGTCCTTATGCTGGAAATATCCAAAGCAAGGTTGTGTGAACAACATAACTAGATCTAAATTGCTAAACAAGTGCTTGAAAGGAAGGTGCTAAAAATGATAAGGAATCATGGCGCCTTACATTAACAATATATTTTCACCCGACATCAAAAACTGTTCCTGACCCTGGAGATAATAAACTCCTCAACAACGAGACAAAACTTTGCAAAATAAGAAACAAAGTGTTGAGTTATCAACACAAAATATGAAAGATACACACAAATACACATTATTTTTCTACAGACAATGGTTGTTACTTAAACTCAACTTCTGATAGTTCAGATAAGACAATGCCAATTACTAACTATTTTAATTTGTGGACACAAGCTGCTAAAACAACCTTAAAATCATCTAAATGAAAATGATTTCATCACATTCACGTTGGCTTACTTATTTACATTTAAATGAGGTGAAAAGATAAATAATGACAAACGTCCATGTGCAGTTTAACTTTCACAGGATTTATCTCATGGTTGGCAGTTGGATCAAGCTCATTTGGACAGTTATGTTTCCGCACTGTACTGTAGTTTGATAGCCATATTCTCTTCTCTTCTTTTTCTTGTAGTTATTCTTCCAGTGAACATGGAAACAATTTTCTTGACACAAGCCCAATTTATTGAGAGAAAAGCATAGATCAAGCAAAGAACAATTCAGTGATTGTCGTTATCAATATCATTGGAGTTACTTCCCTTCAATAATATTATTTAAAGATCATCATGAAGTTTCATGTATGCAAGTTTTATAACAAAATAGAAAATTCACATCCAAATCTAAATGTAAACCACAATTATTGAAGCAAAATGCATTTATTTTCAACATAGTCCAACATGCTGTTCACAAACAGGCAAGATACCCAATTCATTGTAAAACTTTTACTCAATCCCAGAGATTCTTTTGAATTGGCCTACATTTATATTGCTATTTGCTAAGCATATGCATAGGCTTCACAAGCTATTTGCTAAGCCTAGGCAGAGGTTTCACAAGCAAACATTAAAGTTTCTGCCACTTTAAAATTCCAAAGAACTTTGTAATCTGGTCTCCAAATCCCTTAACATTGTTGAGTAGTCTGCCAGTAGCAGAATAAGAAGAGTTGTGTCCCTTCCTACAGTGAATATTACCATCTAAATATATTTGCGCTTTCTTTATTTTCCAAAAAACTTAATTTCTATCAGCAAGGAATTTCAGACTTTCAGGGTTGTACTTTCAACTAGCGCTCATCAGCAATTTAAAAAAAACTGGAAAGTATAGATTAATCCAAGACAAATTTCTTCCAACATGTTTTTTCTGGTGTTAAATTCCTTTTTGGAATTGTGCACTGATTTCATCATTAATTTCTTACTACAGACCACAAATGAAACATGTGAAATGAATGATTAAGTCACCTCCCTTTAAATATTCCTTTATATACACATTGATGAATAAATTCGTTAAATTTTCTAGAAGAAGCTAATTTTAATCCTTGGAGGCATCAGCAGTTAGCATCTGATATAGGCATTGATCATTTAGACATCCTTGGATAAATTCTTCTTTCGTTAAAACACCATCACCATTTGTATCCATCTTTTCAAATATTTTTGCTGTTCTTTCACTAGGAGAGTCCATGGTTTGACCTACCAATGCAGCTCCCAACATACTATATATGGCCTGAAATGAAAGAAAATATGTTAATATTAGAAATCATAACAATTTCAGAATTATTAAGTTCAGTAAAATGCATATTTCTCGGATTGATCAGACTATAGGAAAAGCCTTTTCCTGATCTTGTACCTGGCTTTAATGGCATTTTGTAAAGACAGTGGTATACTAATATAGATATAACCTATAGTTCATATTTAAAACCATATAGAGATGTTACATATAAGCAGAGTTAAAGAGATTGTAAAGAGGTTTTCTGAACTCCGGTACACTGATAGCATCAATTTGCACCATTCCAATAAAAGCTTTTTATGACATCACTATTGAAAAAGCAACAATTGATACATAAGGACCTTTGCTATAGTGACATCATAAAACACATGGAAATCACATAAAAATTAAAATGGTGCAAATCAATGCTATCGGTGTCACTACACTACTTTACTTTCAAATCTGTTAGCATGAAGTAGAGAATAATTTGTTATGTGCAGGTAAACTAATCTTAACAAAATAAATTAGAAACTTTTTAAAGAAAGATAGCTTGCCAGGCAAGGTAACATACGCCCACTGGAAGCTGTCAGAAATGATTAAACAGTCTTTAGTGACGTCAAGTCAGACACGATTTTTCGGTGAAATATTATCAGATCATCGCGAAAATCAATAGGGATCATCTTCATAATGACATTGACATACAAAATAAAAATCAAAAGAATCTGTAAAGAATTGTAGCCTGTAGAGTGAGCACGAGCTGCACAATATAGCTAATAGAGTAAAACGTCAGGTCAGACACAATATTTCGGTGAAAAATTATCCGATCATCATGAAAATCGATAGATCATCATGAAAATCAATAGGGATCATCTTCATAATGACATAGACATACAAAATTTAAATCAAAAGAATCTGTAAAGAATTGTAGCCTGTAGAGTGAGCACGAGTTGCACAATATAGCTAATAGAGTAAAACGTCAAGTCAGACACGATATTTCGGTGAAAAATTATCCGATCATCATGAAAATCGATAGATCATCATGAAAATCAATAGGGATCATCTTCATAATGACATAGACATACAAAATTTAAATCAAAAGAATCTGTAAAGAATTGTAGCCTGTAGAGTGAGCACGAGTTGCACAATATAGCTAATAGAGTAAAACGTCAAGTCAGACACGATATTTCGGTGAAAAATTATCCGATCATCACGAAAATCAATAGGGATCATCTTCATAATGACATTGACACACAAAATAAAAATCAAAAGAATCTGTAAAAGATAGCTTGCCAGGCAAGGTAACATACGCCCACTGGCAGCTGTCAGAAATGATTAAACAGTCTTTAGTGACTACAGGGTTGCACAATATAGCTAATAGAGTGAAACGTCAAGTCAGACACGATATTTCGGTGAAATATTATCCGATCATCGCGAAAATCGATAGGGATCATCTTCATAATGACATTGACATACAAAATAAAAATCAAAAGAATCTTAAA